CACCTGCTGAGCTCACCTGGAGCTCACCTGCCCGCTGGAGCTCACCTGGAGGAGCTCACCTGCTGGAGCTCACCTGCCCGCTGGAGCTCACCTGCTGAGCTCACCTGCCCGCTGGAGCTCACCTGGAGGAGCTCACCTGCCCGCTGGAGCTCACCTGCCTGGTGGAAGCCCTCGGAGAGGCCCCCGCAGCCGGAGAAGACGTCCAGCGTCCGTAGCTTGGGCAGCTGCAGCCGCTGCGGCTCCTGCTCGCTCTGCTCCGCGCTCGCCGCCTTCCCCTTGCCCTTCCCTGGCAACGGCCCCGACAGCCATGGCTCACGCTGCTTCTTCATCCTCGTTCCTGCTCCTTCCTCCTCCTCGTTCCCTGTTCTTCATCCTCATTCCTGCTCCTTCCTCCTCCTCATTCCTGCTCCTTCCTCCTCCTCCTCATCCCCTGTTCTTCTTCATCCTCATTCCTGCTCCTTCCTCCTCCTCGTTCCCTGTTCTTCATCCTCCTCATTCCCTGTTCCTCCTCCTCATTCCTGCTCCTTCCTCCTCCTCATCCCCTGTTCTTCCATCCTCATCCCATGTTCCTCCTCCTCCTCATTCCCTGTTCTTCCTCCTCCTCATTCCTGCTCCTTCCTCCTCCTCATTCCCTGTTCTTCATCCTCCTCCTCATCCCCTGTTCTTCCTCCTCATCCCCTGTTCTTCATCCTCATTCCTGGTCCTTCCTCCTCCTCGTTCCCTGTTCTTCCTCCTCCTCATTCCCTGTTCCTCCTCCTCATTTCCAGTTCTTCCTCCTCCAGTAATCCATCACTTCCCGGACCCTTTTCCGCCCCTTTTTTACCCATTTCCAGCCCCTTTTCCACCCTTTTTCCACCCTTTTCCCATCCCTTTCCTGCCCCTTTTCCCATCCCTTTTCCAGCCCCTTTTCCCATCCCTTTTCCCATCCCTTTTCCCACCCTTTTCCACCTTTTTTCCACCTTTTTTCCAGCCCCTTTTTCCCACCCTTTTCCAGCCTCACCTTTCCCTTTTCCCTTCCCCTTCCCTTTGTTCCCCGAGCTCCGGGCGTGGTTGGGAGGATCCTCAAAGCTCTTGGTTTTGGCGTTGTAAGCCTGGAAAAAAAACCCCAGGAACTCATCCAGACCCCCAGGAGCTCATCCAGAACCTCAGGAGCTCATCCAGAACCTCCAAAAACTCATCCAGACCTCCAGGAACTCATCCAGAACCTCCAAGAACTCATCCAGACCCTCAGGAACTCATCCAGACCCTCAGGAACTCATCCAGACCTCCAAGAATTAATCCAGATCCCCAAGAACTCATCCAGATCCTTCAAAACCCACTCCAGTATCCAAGATTTGATCCTAAAATCCTGGAATCGGCCCCAAATCCAATCCTTCCATGGAAAATCCCAACCTTCCTTCACCCCTGGGGTCTCCAGACCTCCAAGAACTCATCCAGAACCTCAGGAACCCATCCAGATCCTTCAAAACCCACCTCAAAGTGACCCCAAATCCAACCCCTCCATGGACAACCCCACCTTCCCCTCACCCCTGGGGTCTCCAGACCCTCAGGAGCTCATCCAGACCTCCAAGAACTCATCCAGAACCTCAGGAATTCATCCAGACCTCCAAGAACTCATCCAGACCTTCAAGAACTCATCCAGAACCTCAGGAGCTCATCCAGACCCTTCAAAACCCACTCCAGTACCCAAAATTCATTCCAAAAATCCTG